TCTGAAGAGTTGGCCAATGCTTTGTTATCGTTCATGATCTTATGAATCACATGCCTTGCACTATATTAGCTTTAATAACTACACATTGAAGAGATTGTTCATAATTATGTTATAGGAATAAAATAATGGATAGTTGTGTGACAACTGACAACCCAAATCAGCAAATGAAAAATGGGGAATTCTATTGAATGGGGCAAGGTCAGTAAAATAAACTGTTCTGAAAATTAATGCTGTTGGTGATGCAAGATATTCAACCTTGAAGACAATACCCTGTATTTAAGACAATTGTGTAGTTGTTAATTCTGTGAAAAGAGGCATTGAATTTCTGATTAAGACAAGTCCTACAAACACCAAATCAATAATGGCATGATTTCAGCCTTTGTTTGATGTCACTCTTTTCTGTGTCCACTTAGATGAATCTGTCCTGTTTCTTTTCTTTGAAATCCAAAAACTGATAACAAATGCATTTATGGATAAAGCAGTGTAGTGTTGATATAGCACCAACTGAAAGATCTGGTCTGAAATGTGGCTGATGAGCTCCCCTTGTGTTTAAAGGTCAAAATTGCTTTAGGTAAAATAATGTCATCCCAGCTGCCCCAGTATCTGCATGTTGATATGTACTAGCCAATAGGTTAAGAATTTATTTTTTTAAATTGAATTTATTGGGGTGATATTGGTTAATAAAAATTATATAGGTTTCAGGTGTACAATTCTACAATACATCATCTGTGTATGGTATTGTGTGTTACCACCCCAGGTCAAGTCTCCTTCCATCACCATTTATCCCCCTTCTACCCTCCTCTACCTCCCCCCACTCCTTTTCTCTCTGGTAGTCACCATACTGTTGTCTGTGTCTATGATTTTTTTCTTCTTTGCTTAATTGCTTCACTTATTTCACACAACCTCCCTCCAATCTGACAACTGTGAGTCTGTTTTTTGTATCTATGAGTCTGTTTCTATTTTGTTTGTTATTTTGTTCATTAGATTCCACATATAAGTGAAATTATATGGTATTTGTCCTTCTTTGACTGGCTTATTCACTTAGCATAATACTCTCCAGGTAATGAGTTAAGCATTTCACATGCCATTTCATTTACTCCTCAAAAGAACTCTTTTCAGTAGATACTACGGTAGCCATTTCACAAATGAAACATCCAAGGCACAGAATAGGTAAGAAACTTGCCAAAAATCTTAGTTAGTAGGTGATGGAGCCAGGGATGTCATGTGCTCACAGTTAGTGCTCTTGACCATCAGAGTTCCATGCCTCTGGGCTTGCTACTTAACTGAGGCTAGATCATCTACAGTCTATGACATTGTTTTTTCTTCCCATTTATCCATCTGTCTTTTCTATGATACTTTAATACTACTTCAAGGACAAGAACATTTTTGTCATCTCAATTCTTAGTCTTCTGATTTCATCCTACAAAATTTTAAGTTTTCCAAAGTAGAACTTTCTTACTAAAGTAACTTTTCACTCAGTTTTTCAACTCAGATGAAATACAACAATCCCAGCACCCACCAGATTTCCCTTCTCTTCTCCCTCAGATCTCTTAGATGAAGTCCCAGCATCTGGGTGTGCTTAGTGGCCAGACTTTTTTGTGTCTTAGAGTGTGTTGGTATATTGTGTGAGTGTGTTTTCTATTTTGTCAGTCTGCTACATCAAAGCATCATTTTAACACTGATTTCAGGAAAATCTCCAACTTTAGGGTCCTAATGCAGGTGAGAACCTTCCATCTGCATATATGTGTGTGGCTACACAAGTTCTAATGGAAGTTTTTGTTGAGGAAAAAAAAAGAAAATCTTGTTGAGGTTTCACTGTTTTTCTGTATCTTTTTATAACACTTAAAATTTTAAAATCACTAATTTAATTGCATTGCATTATGAATATTCCCTATTTTGGGTGGATAGTACATTTTTCCTTTGGAATTCAAATGACTTTCAACATAGGACCTCATTATGTTAGTAATTATCTCGTTAAGAGTTTTTTGTTTGTTTGTTTTTAACAAGGTTGAAAAAGGGCAGGAGAAGATGCAAACCTAGTTCAGGGAAGCCATTTCAGAGAAGTTAGGGCTGTACTTGTGCTTCTATAGCAGTGATGGCGAACCTATGACACGCGTGTCAGAGGTGACATGCGAACTCATTTTTTTGGTTGAGTTTTCTTTGTTAAATGGCATTTAAATATATAAAATAAATATCAAAAATATTAGTCTTTTTTTTACTATGGTTGCAAATATCAAAAAATTTCTATATGTGACACGGCACCAGAGTTAAGTTAGGGTTTTTCAAAATGCTGACAAGCTGAGCTCAAAAGGTTCGCCATCACTGTTCTATAGCCATTTTCTAAGATTGCTATTTAATCTTCAGGTGATGGGGAAAGTGTCCAAATATTTTTCAATAATTTTTTTCCATAAAAATTCTGTGCCTTAAATTGATGAAGTATTGTTTAACTTCAATTATTAAGGTAATCCAACTCTCCATATAAATAGGCTTTCCTCTTGTCTGTTTTTGGTTTTTTAAATAAACATCAGAAGAACTTACAGTGCCTTACTTAAAAGGCTGAAACACATTTGGGAGGGACCATGGATAGGAATAAGCAACAAGTTCATTGCATCCTTCTGTTTAGGAATTAGCCTGAATCTAACACACTACCAAGAGAATAGCTCCAAAGCTCAGAGGGCCTCCATCATTTGATGCTGTAATCACCAGTAATTTTGTAATAATTCCTATTCTTGTGTGTCTGAATATTGTTAAGGCTTTTTACTGATTAAAATCTTCTTATTTTATTGAATTGTCTCTGACCTAAATGTTTGATTATTTAAATTAATAGCTTTTTAACCTTTGGAGGGTTTAGTAATCTATAGAAAATAGTGGTTCCTCTACTCAGTAAAATGCACATATACATACACACCCCGAATTTAGCATAAAATCATGAGGGAGTTCAAGGATTGTTGGACCTATTTAAGGGTCTATTGGAACCTATTTGAAGTGATTTGAAGAGCTCTGTGGCAACCAGTGTGTTTTCACAGAGCAAGCTTATGAAATTCTCTTTAAACCAAATTCCTTTAAGGAAATTGATTGATATCAAATGCTTCATGGATTAAGGTGAGACTAAATAAATGACAAGAAAATAAGCAAAATAAACAAGGAAAAGTCAGGCACTTGCATAAAATTCTCCAGACACAGATGCTCTCACATAAAGAGGTATATAATGATATCAGTATTACTCCGTGGGTAAGCAAATTATGTGGCTGAGACAATATATCAATCTGCATTTTATTACATTAGACTAAATAATATCCAACATTTTCTAATTTGAATATTCTAGCAGAATATTTCTAATTTGAATATTCTTTAGAAATGATAAATCAAGTATTTCTGTATTCTTTCAGAGTGGATTTTAACCTAGGGAAATTAGGATATTTTTTCATGGTGGTCTTGGTAGCACATTCCACATCAAAATTCAGACACTATCCTTGGTGTTCAAGTTCTTTTATTCTTAGAGAAGACAGCCATATTTGTTTAAGATGTTTATTCACTTTCATAGTTGCCTCTAAATTTTTCAAGTACCTTACAAATTTCTTGATTTATGATCCTATTTCTCACCAAGCTGAGACATGTTGGTAACATTAAGAACCTTAAGTTTCTGAAAAACAAGATAACACATATGTCAAAATATAATTTTCAAAATGTTGAACATTATTCTCATATAAATAGTTATTGAGCACATGTCAAGATTTTATTTAGCTTAATCAATAGGGTGACAAAGCCAGTCCAAAAAAGAGGAACATGTATTTATCTCTGTATCCATAGCCATATCAATTCTACTCATATAAATATAAATTTTGGTACCAGTCCTCAGTGAGACCAAATTTCTTCTGTCAATTATTTAATATGAATCCATTCATATTAAAAACTCCATATACCCCAGCTTTTTAACAATAAAATGTATCCCTTTTGTTCTGGTAACGTTAGGTCTATTGTTCTAAGCCTTCAGCATACAGACTCACCTTGTAAAAGACTGATGGGTTCTACCTCCAGAGATTCTCTTTGTAAGGAAAATTTTATATCTATGTGGAGAACACAGATATAAATGACAGCCAGTTTCTCAGCATCACAAAGGAAAGAAATTCCTTAAAGGAAGTAAATGTCCCACATTCTATCATTTATGAATGCTGAATGGAATAATTGAAAACCTCTTAGAAATTTTATGTGGGAATTGTTTTAAAAAGTTCTACGTGAAATGATTTATTTCAAAGCAGAGACCTTGCTTCTAATAAATATATACTAGAGGCCTTCCTTCCCCCGGCTGCCGGCACCAGCTTCCCTCCTGCACCCAGGACCCAGGCTTCCATTCAGCCACTGGCAGGCACCCAGGACCCAGGCTTCCCTCGTAGCACCGGCTTTTTCCGGAAGGTCATCTGGAAGGTCATCCAGAAGGATGTCTGATCTAATTAGCAGTTATGCTTTTAATATATACTAGTGGTCTGGTGCACAAAATTTGTGCATGGTGGGGGGGTGTCCCTCAGCCTGGCCTGCACCCTCTCCAATCTGGGACCCCGCAGGGATCCGGCCTAAACTGGGAGTTGGACATCCCTCTCACAATCCATGACCACTGGCTCCTAACCGCTCACCTGCCTGCCTGCCTGCTCGCCCCCAACTGCCCCCACTGCTGACCTGCTCACCCCCGACTGCCTCCCCCACCCCCAGCCTGATCACCCCCCCAACTGCCCTCCCCTCCTGGCCTGATCGCCCCTAACCGCCTCTGCCTTGGCACCGCCACCATGACTTTGTCCTGAAGGGTGTCCGGAAGGTCTCCTAATCTAATTAGCATATTACCCTCTTATTAGTATAGTATAGATGATTTGGTCTTGCACTAGCATTTTGTTTAGGGAAGGTTGCTCGCTCTGCTCTTAGACATAGGTGATATGGCAGAATGTAGAGTGAGGAAAGGCCCTCAGGTCGTTCAAACGGAGCCATAGGATGTGTGTGTCTCTTTCCAGGACCAAGAAACCTCCTTCCCCAGGGCACTCTCAGCTCAGAGACTCTCCCCACGGTGGTGCTTTCTAGATGGTGAGTGTTCCTGTATTTCATGGAGGGGTGGGGGTTGGGGAAGCTGCAGGGCAAGGCATCCATTGATGGATTGGCCTCCAGTTTTCCAAAAGATTATTCAGAAACCCTTCATGTGGTTCCTCAATGATGTGGACTTGCTGATGTTGTAACACCTCTCTGAAGTCATTTTCCTCAAAGCCAGCTGGTTAACTCTGGCTGAACTTCTCAGCATCAGATTGCTCAAGCTGGCATTTCCCTTCATCGCTCTCACCCCCCACTCTCACCCCCGCTTCCTGAAAAGAGTTGAGTGCCTCTCTTACACTGAGGCCAGTAGATAGGTTCAGTAACCATGGGATAGGTACCAGCACGTATGTCTCTTGCATATTTTGGAGCTTTTATATCATTTTCACCAAATCATCACTTCAGTGTGATGCATAAGATTTTATCAAAGCGTAGAAAATTTCAGTTGTGTTCATACCTGCCCTGCTGAACATGACATTGAATGCATAATAGGTCAGTTATTTCTGATTGGTCAATGAGTCCATTTTCCACTGCAAGCATCTCTCAATCCCTCGATGCTTCTTAATTCTATTTTTCTATTCAGTTACCTATATTGAAGTCCATTCCTGCTTATATGCTTCCCAGTGTATCTACCACCCAGTGTCTCTCTAGTTTATGTGGTTTTCATCACAGACCCCTCTTTGTTTATCTGTGAATGCATCCGAGAGGATATAACTGTGGATAGGAGTATGACAGGATGTGAGATGTCTGATCAGTATCATGAAGATGAGCACTTGTATCTATCTGAAATCTAAGCCATTATAAATCATGACCTACCTTTCCATTGATGGCTTGTCAACTGCCTCTGAAGGTAAATCATGCTGCTCTTCCTCCAGCTCTTTTATTCCTGATGATGAGAAACACAATCATTTTTTCCCTGAATCTGCAGAGGAACGACTTATATTTAATAAAATTATGGAAATGTATATGAATTGTTCTACAGATAGTCTGTTCTATATACAGTCTTTCCTAAAATTACAATCAATGTTTAAATGAACATTGTTTCTAATAAAACTATTTATAGTGTGAAACTAATATGGGGATTAAGACCATTATCCACAATTGGTTAAACAGAACAGAGTAGAGAAAGTACTTCTCAGGCGGGTTCTCCTCTCCTGTTGCTTTTAGAGGGCAGGGGCCGTGACAGTTTTGTTTCTTAGCTCATTTGGAGGAAAGCTTTTCCTTAAGTATTTATGGTTTTCAAATGATTGTTTGCATTTTGAGTTTTCCCCTCTAGTACTATGCAGAAAATCTATTTATAATATTTGGACTCTGGTAGACAGATTTAAGGAAGGAGAAACATAATTCTTAAATGTTAAGAGTAATCAGAATAATTTTTGAAAATTTTGTAAGACTTTTTTCCTCAAGCCACAGCTGCAGCCCAGTCCCTTTTAGAAATGCTTAAATTATGTGTATATAATTTAATTTATATATATGTAATAATTTATATATATATATTAGTATTAGTATTAATATTAGTATTATTGTTATTGCTGTTTTGATCTTCAGAGATAGCTTAGGGACTCAGTTTTAAGGTGAAATGCTGGATGTGGTTTTTGGCTCTGCTTCTTCAAGATCTTTTTCAAAATGAGAACCACTTTCTTGGGAAGTCTGGCTACTGAGAGTTTTGTGGGGTTTTTTCTAGGCTTTATTTACTTAATAAACACACATGGAGTCCCAGCTCTGTTTAAGGGCCTCATATATGGACACATAAAGAATAAATGACAGACCTTTAAAGAGGCAGATACCTTAGTCTCATCGTTATCTGTGAAGATAGTTCCTATAAGAAGTGTAAACAAAACGTTAGTGTGCATAGAAATGGAAGCAATGAATTCTGTCCATGGTTAGGGATGACAGGACTAAGGGAGGGCTCACAGAGGAGGTACCATCTCACTTGCTCCTTAAAAGGCAAGTAAGATTTTGACAGGCAGGTGTAATGGGGAAGGCAGGGCCTTCTAACAGCAGAGGCGAGGAAGTCCTGCGTTTTTCCTAATAGACTTAGGGACCGGTCACCAGTCCCTAAACTGGAATGGAAGGTTTCTGATTGATGTGGTAGAACAGAAGGTTAGAAATTTAGTGCCAGATCACAGGACACTCTGAATGCCATATCCTTTTTTCTTTTTTTCTAGCAACTTCTGCTGATCGCTTTTATCGAATAGACAGATCTCAGGTACGTTTTCTTGAGCCTGCTTGTGAAAGTGAAAAATTCCCTAGTAAATATGCTTTATTGGTATCTAATCTGATAAACTTTTCTAACAAAAACGTGGAAACACACATTTTGGAATTATAATCTTCGCCCTAAGCCCTGAGCTGCTGTCTTGTGTTTTGTGATCTGTGGACTGGAGATGATATGGCTTGACTTTTTAAATGAGTACAGAAAATAGCTAGACTTGTATCATCGCCAGCCTGCACTTCAGATCCTTACCTACACTGCTACTTATAAATACTGCTTCCTAGTCAAAACAGATGCCTTTGAAAAGTTGACACCTCAAATTTAAGACCTCAGGTATACTGGTATATCTAGGCTACTTAGTTTCAACTCCTCACCTCTCAGAGTTCCGTAATCAGAAAATAAAATGTTTATGCCTAATGACAACATGTTCCCACTGTCCAAATTCTCCTGCAAAAAGAAAGGACAGTGTGGAATCCAGTCAAAACACCTAGTTAACGGTGCCATTTATCCTTGACCAGATCCTGGGGGGAGGAAGTCCACTCATGCTGGACCAAGTTCATTGCGGATGTCACTTCTTTGGTAGTATTTGGGCATCTCTGGTTATACCTAACAAGATCCTGATCAACTAGGAACCCAAACCAAGAGGGATTCACCTCTCTCCCTCCCCAGCCTCTTGCTATGATGTTGCTTCAGGGCGGGATGTCCACTGGTCAGGCCTTTGAACATTGACTGTGGTCATTTGATTAGTCACAGAATTTCATTATTCCTCAAGTCCAAGAAGCTTTCTTCTGGTTACCCTTCAGATGATGGATTCGAGCATCCTGTCAGTCCTCTGACAGACTTCTTTTTCTTCCTTAGGAACATTTGCACTTTGTGATGGAGATTTCTCAAGATGAGGTTTTTATTCTGGACCCAGACATGGCCTTGTCACAGCAGGCAGGGACACCGCCAGGAATGCCTGACCTGGTGGTGGAGCAAGCCTCAGGGTGAGTAGGCGGCTCCGTGACATTGTGATGGTGAGACTGGCTACAGGGTGCCAACAGTGTCTTGTTTGGCTTTGGCATTGACATTTCTAATGATGTCAAACTATTTTAAAATACGATAGTCCCCTTCTTATCCATGGGGGATATGATGCAAGAATCCTGCTCCCCCAGTGGGTGCCTGAAACTGTGTTTAGTATCAAACCCTATATACTAGTCTTTTTCCTATACATACCTATGATAAAGTTTGATTTATAAATTAGGCATAATAAGAGATTAGCAATAGTACCTAGTAATAAAATAGAACACTTATAATGATATACTGTGATAAACGTTATGTGAATAGTCTCCTACCCTCCCCCCGACCCTCCACCAGTAACTGAGATTTCATCAGACTACTCAGAATGGCATGACATTTAAAACCTAAGAATTATTTGTCTCTGGTAACTAAAATCACAGAAAGTGAGACCACAGATAACTTGGGGCTACTCTACTGGTTTTCTTGTTGTGTTTCATCAGTGTTGTATAGCTGGATTCACTATAAGTCTGACTTATGAATGGTTGTGTGGAAGGACACTTTCCCACCCAGGTTTGCCTGAGCCTTCTTTACCCACCACATCCACACTTCCTACCAAACTAGAAAGCACTAGCACTTGCATTTGTGCATCTATAGCTGTAAGGCCTGTATTAGCCAAATAAAAATTGACACAGGTGATTTGACAATTATTTTTCTCCTCTTCCACCTCCTCCCTCTTCTTTGCTATATCCAGGCATCCTGAGGCATTGAGATTGTATAACAATAACTGTCACATGCCAAGCACTTATTATGAGCCACGTACTGTGCTAAATGCCTTTCTTATATCCCTGCCACCACTTCATAGTGACTTAATAAACTTAAGTCACCTGTACTTGTTTCCTCATCTGTATCATGAAAACAATGACACCTACTCATAGAATTGTTCTAAGATTAAAGTAATTGATACATGTGGAACATTTAGAATAGTTCCTGCACTTGATAGATACTCATTAAGCATTATTTTATTCAAATCATTGTCATCATTTCACAATGACCCTGTAATTTGCTACTATTATGTCCTAAGTCCATAAATAAGAAAATTGATGACTAGAGGGTTCTGTAACTTTCCAAGTATTGCACAGAAAATAAATGGAAAAATTGAGATGTAGTCACAGGTTTTCTGATGTCAGAACCCATGAATTTAACCACGACATTGAACCACCAAAATGATATTGATATTTCTAGGTTATGTCAACAATTTGAAAATATTTATTTAGAGTTTTTTTTTATGTGCCATATACTAGTGTAAGCACTTGGGAACAAGAATGCCAAAATTAAAATAGACAAAAATCTTTGCCCTTTGTGAAGTCTAGTGAACTTGAGTGGTTTACTGGTTAAAATAAGGATTTCCTTGGAAAACGCACACACACACACACACACACACACACACACACACACACTCACTCAGATAGCATATAAAAGCGTACCCACATACCTATACAGTACGAACAGATACTCATTTAAGTTACCCTGGTGCCTGTTTACCCCTCTTCACTTGCTGCTATTTCTAAGTATCTCCAATTCTGCAAGGCCAGCTCATGCCTGTGATGTGGACCGAGTGTGTGGGCATCAAGAGAAGACAGAAGTTGTAGGATGGAACAGATATATAGCTGTGCTTAGGAAGCCAGAGTTAGTGATACCAAAGCTATCCTGATGTGAAGGTAAAGCTGACAGGCACAAAGGGTGGTAACCCTGGGAGTTCCAGAAGGTGATGGAGAGGGCCCTTTTTGTGGTCCATGGACTATAAATCAAGCCCATTAGTTGTGGGGAAAACAAGTGAAGTGCTGAGTCCTACCCCAGGTGCAGTAGGTACTAGAGTCTAGCTGTCCTCCCACCTTACCAGAACTGGGGATACACATGACTCACATCCCTTTGGTCTAATCCATCCTTGATCTCTTAAGAGTGAATCCATTCTGCCAAGCTCACCCTAGTCTTCGACCTGTTGGTCATTCTCTCCATGTCAAATCATGGCCAAAAGAAATGGCCTGTCTTGGTTAGAACTCTATTAACTCTAGCTCGTAAATAACACAGCCTGAACATCCGCAAGTACTTGAATCAGTCCCTTTCTTTTTCTCATCAGGGGCCCCCACTGGACATAAACCAGGAACAGTGGAGCAGGGGAAGAGGATGGGCTTTGTTATTTTCTTATCCGTACTTCAGTATCAGGCTTCTTTACTTCTTTTATGTTACATTTTAAATGACTTATCTTGAAATTCAGTTTTCTCACCTATAAGGAGGTCAGAATCATACAAATGGTTCATGACGGTTGAGAAAATTAAATGAAACAATAAACGTGAAGTGCCTAGTAAATGCCCAATAGAGATGGATTTCCCTTTTCACATTTAGAGACAAGAATCATCTTGAGAAAGTGTAGGTAAGTCCTGTGGCTGACTTTGCTTACCTGTTGGTGCCCTTCTCCCTCCCAGGATGTCAGACTGGTGGAATCCTTCGCTACGGAGACGCATGCTGAGCGACAGCGGTCTGGGAATGATAGCTCCGCGTTTCGAGGACTCCGATATGAAAGATCTCAGCCACTCCCATGCGCTACAGTAAGAGTTCTCTCTCTGTTCTTTACCTGTGTGCCACTGTGACTCCTGGGAGAGGATTGGGTGGGATCCTCACCAATGAGAAGTCTACTCTTTTCAGGGGTGTTCTTTCTGTCTCACGACTGTGTCACCTGTGATTTGACATTTTATTCACTTTAAAAAAGTAACATTGTGCCTAAAACATGGTAGATACGCAACAAACCTGGATGCCCTTTGCCTGGTATCTCGCACTCAGTTTTGTACGTTGAGAGCTTGGCTAGCTCCTAATGCCAGAGGAGGTTATTTATTTGTTTATCTTTATTATTGCAAGTATTGAAGATATCCCCTTTCCCCCACATTGAACCTCTCCTCCCCACTTCGCCCCCTCCCAGGCCTTTACCAAACTATTGTCTGTGTCCATGGGTTATGCATATATGCATGTAAGTTGTTTGATTAATGTCTTCCTGTTCCCCTACCCCCCACTCTTCCAAGAACCTTCCGTCTATTGCATGCTTCCATGTCTCTGAATTTATTTTGTTCATCAGTTTATTTTGTTCATGAGATTCCACATATAAGTGAGATCATGTGATATTTGTCTTTCTCTGACTGGCTTTTTTCGCTTATCATAATACTCTCCAGGTCCCTCCATGTTATCTCATAGGGTAAGAGATCCTTATTTTTTACAGCTGCATAGTATTCCATGGTGTAAATGTCCCATAGATTTTTTATCCACTCATCTACTGATGGGCACTTGGGCTGTTTCCAGATCTTAGCTATTGTAAATTACATTGCTATGAACATAAGGATGCATATTTCCTTTCTGATTGGTGTTTCAGGCTTCTTTTTTTAAAATATATTTTATTGATTTTTTACAGAGAGGAAGGGAGAGGGATAGAGAGTTAGAAACATCGATCAGCTGCCTCCTGCACACCCCCTACTGGGGATGTGCCCACAACCAAGGTACATGCCCTAGACCGGAATCGAACCTGGGACCTTTCAGTCCGCAGTCTGATGCTCTATCCACTGAGCCAAACCGGTTAGGGCTGTTTCAGGCTTCTTAGGATATATTCCTAGAAGTGGAATCACTGGGTCAAATGGCAGTTCCATGTTTAATTTTTTATCCCCAAACTTCCCACGGAGCTTCACTTTTCATTCCTCTTGCTCATGAGCCACACTGAGACTTTCATGTGGATCTATAAATACTTTCAACCCCAACAGTGTTTGACGTTTCAGGCTTCTTAGGGTATATTCCTAGAAGTGGAATCACTGGGTCAAATTGCAGTTCCATGTTTAATTTTTTATCCCCAAACTCCCCATGGAGCTTCACTTTTCATTCCTCTTGCCCATGAGCCACACTGAGTCTTTCATCTGGATCTATAAATACTTTCAACCCCAACAGTGTTTGACTAGACATCCCTGTGTTGGCCACATCATGAACACATGCATGAGAGTGAGCATGAATAGTTCGGAAGGGACATATAGTTTTCCTTTGTATGAACATTTCGATGTGTTGCCACTCTGTTTCATTTGTGTTCGGTCCTGAGCCTGTGTGTGTGCTCTGAGTAATGCCACCAAGAGATTTTTGTTGGCCAAAGGGGAGTACTGCTCGTGTTGTAGCTTCAGCATTGGTTCATAGATCAGTCATGGGTGTGCTTTCTTCTGAAGTCTGATCACGGTGAGAAGTAGCGTGAACGTTGGCGTTTGCGGTGGTGTTGGTACATTTGTGTCCAGTGAGTCCTCCCTTCAGTTATTCCTTCTTGCAAGAGCAGGTGCTGGGTACAGTCTGTGGTCATGACACACTCACTCACACCCAGTATTTGACTTCAGTTTTAGAGGTTATGCAAGTTTATTGCAATTAATCAAATGAGGCTGTTTTCTAGACCGACCCAAAGTCCTAATCCAATAGGGACAATGGCCCTGTAACGATGCAGTCTTACTATTTTCATGAAATAACAAGATTACTGAGGTCCTTAGAAGCCTAGGGTTAACTGAAGAGGCAATTCAGGCATTATTTCCATAGGAAGAGAGGAAGTAATTTCTGTATGACAAAGGGGAGGAAAATGAGAAATCTGAAGCTAATTATTTCATTGGGAAAAGCTGTACTTAGACACTCTAAGGGCAAAAGGTGACTTCATTTTAATTGCTTTTCTATACTATTTCTTGTTTCTTGTTCTGTTGTGTGAAGAGTGGAAAGGAAAAAGTGAATTACTATGGATTTTCCTTTTTAATTAAAGCACATTGTTAGTTTCTGATAGCATATTGATTGCTTACAATTCAGGGTGTTTTTCCATTTATTTTTTTATACAGAATTGAGGCTTGTGAACCTGGATGAGTCAGCCATTCATTGATGGTTTAAAATAGCGGCCATCTAGCTGTTAGCAGATTTGTTTGGAAATTAGAGTTTTAGTTAGCTGCAGAATTAGAAATTAAGTCTAGACGTACCAGATGAGCATTTTAGTTGTTCTTATACACAGGCTATTTCAAAAAAGTTGAGTATGATCTCAATCCAGGTTCATATACCCTATTTTTTCTGTATATACTATATTAATGTATATATCATGCTACGTGAAGTTATTGTTTCTAAGATAACAAATACTATTCCCATGAATCACAAATAAGTGTACCACTTTATATAACATCCAAGTTCTTAAAACTCTATATGAAAATCAACTCACTTTTTATTTGGGTTATGTTATCTTTTCAGGGATTTCTCTTAATGGGCAGTCATCAGTTTTCCTGGCTATTTATACTTCCTCAGCTCTTAAATACACGAGAGCAGCTAACTCTGTTTAAAAACATTTTCTGCCAAGTCATTTGGAAAACAAAGTAAGCTATAAACCTTCACCCATAGCCTTTGAGTCTGTCCAGCTGAAACTCCAGACATTGTGGAACAGAGACAAGTAATTCCCACCGTCTGTTTGATTCCCTGGCTCACAGAATATGTGAACATGATAAAAATGGGGTTTTAAAATCACTTTTTATAAAAGTAAATACTATATATACCTTACCCTGATTTGTCTATTAATTCTTTTTTTAAATGTTTATTGGGTTTAATAATTTCTTAGGAAGAACATCCCTTTATTTCCATTAGAGATCATTTCTGAGATAAATAAGTATAATTGCAGTTATGGAATAATGCAACTACATATAAATATATAATGTCAATAACAAATATTGATACTTGCTTTGTACATAGTTAAATATTCTTTGATTCTTTCAAAGGTTTTATATTTTGCTATTGCTTAGCAGCTGAATAAACTGAGGCTCACAAGGATCAAAACATTGATCTTAGTCACCCACAGTGAGAACTGTGGCTTGAATGAGGTCAGCTTGACTTCTAATTCCATGCTTTTTCCACTGCACTACACTGTCTTCCCAAAGGGCCAGTGCAAAGGCCCGGTGCCCAGAGCCCCATGAACCAAGAAAGACCTACTTTGGTTTCTATTTTTCTTTTAGCATTTGCAAAGTGAAAAATTCTATAATATAGGGAAACTACATAAGTGCAATATGTATATATGACTACAGATTAAACCAAAAGTAAATATGGTTGAGAATTAATTTTAAAATAATTATTTTTGCGTTAAAAAAAGAGATTGTAACAAAAAGAATGATACACTTTTATTTAAAGACTGGGGGCCCGGTGCACAAAAATTTGTGCACTCGGGGGGCGGGGGGAGGGGGGGTCCCCCAGCCTGGCCTGTGCCCTCTCGCAGTCTGGGACCCCTCGGGAGATAACGACCTGCTGGCTTAGGCCTGCTCCCGGGTGGCAGAGGGCACGCCCAATCCCTAGGTGCAGCCCCTGGTCAGGCTCAGAGCAGGGCCAATTGGGGAGTTGGGGCGCTGCCCCGTCATGCACAGAGCAGGGTGGATTGGGAGGTTGCGATGCCACCCTCAGTCACGCTCAGGGTAGGGCTGATTGGGGGGTTGGGGCACCGCCCCCTGTCACACTCAAGGCAGGGTCGATGGGGAGGTTGCGGCGCCACCCCCTGTCACGCACAGAGCAGGGCCCATCAGGGGGTTGGGGAGCTCCCCCCTGTCACACACAGAGCAGGGCGGATCAGGGGGTTGGGGCGCCGCCCTCTATCACCCACAGAGCAGGGCCCATCAGGGGGTTGGGGCGCCGCCACTGTCACACTCAGTGCAGGGCCAATGGGGAGGTTATGGCTCTACCCCATCACACACAGAGGCCTCAATTTACCTTCCTATTAGGAATATTTAAGAATCAATATGTGAAAAGGTACAGCAGGCATCTATAGCTTTCAGCCATAGAGTCCCAGATAATGTGGATATAGGAAAAGTTGAATTTTAACATCCTACTCACAATGTTAAATAACGCCCTGTATAAACAAATCAGAAGGGAAATTTTTAATTCTTGGAACCAAAAATACTATTTATCAGAATTAGCAGGAAACCATTAAAGTGGAAGTCACAGAATGATTTGTGGCTCTAAATTAATTTATCAAGAGAAAAATGATTGCATACAAAGAAAGCATTCAACTAGATTAACCAAGAAAAAGAATCCCAGAGTAGAGAACAGAGAAACAAGAGAAAAATAATAAAAATAAAGACAGAAATCGATGACAAGGGGAATAAAACAAACAAAACAGGGATTAATCAAGAATAAAATTTAAAAATGATTCATTAAAAAGATAAATAAGAGAGACATTATGAAAAACTCATTGAAAAAATAACTATGGGAAACAGAAAGAATTGTAACTGCAGTGCTTTCCCTGGTCCATTCTTCTTCCATGGCAGCCAGTCTGCATCTGTGTGGGGAAACCCTTTCCCCTCCAAACTCAAACCAACCCACCCACCTTGCGGTTTTCTCATCGTTTTAAACTCTAGTTTTTTAGGTTCATCAACCTTCCTCCTGCTTCAGGGAGAGTAAAACAGAACAAACAAACTGAATGAATTAGATCTCGATTATTGGGACTGGTTGCATATGTATTAATGATTTCATATAGAAACATCATAATGTTTTAGAAAAAAGCATCTATGACTATATATAATAGAGACCACTTATA